CTGCCATGACATTGTGATATTACAGAGGTGGTTTGCAGTTCTGGTACCCAGCTGACACTTTCCTTGTTAGCATTTCAGCTATTACTGCTACCTCAGCTGATTGCAAATGATCCTAAGAGATATTTTAGGCCTTATCTAACAGATCCAGATAGTCTGTGAAAGTAGCTTCTGGAGGTGCTTTCATGTCTCAAGTCTTGCTAAGCAGATGTCAGACGTAGAAGGCTGCTGCTAACCCCAGACACATCTAAACGGAAAAACCACTTTGGGATGGACTTCTGGTGCAACTCCAAATTATAATCTTGTCTAGGCAGGATCCCATGGACCTCCTGTTGCCTTTGAGACTGACTCATCCATGCTGCCAGTTCAAAATCTCTAAGGAGGAGGAAAAATAAGAATTAAAGGTGGAGTTATTGCTGAGACTGACCTAATTTAAGCTTGCTATCGAGGGATTTCTGTTGAACAAATTGCTTCTCATTACTGTTTTGAAATAATTTTGACAAAATCATCCAGGGAAGACAGATGGTTACTGTTAAATAGATAGGACTATTATATATTTGGCTAGTCTTGGAATCTAGCTATCAAATCCAGTCATTAGCTTTAACTTTCATCTGATGTAATCTCTAGCTGTGGACTATAATAGTTGTATTCGATTCTAGCTACAGATAACCTACTGTCTAGTTCTGTGGAGAATGCAGATCAAGAAACTTTGCCCACCTTAGGTACCAAAATACCTGCACTGCAACGCTCTGCATGTTCCACACCTCTTACCCAAGCAAATCGTTGCACCAAAGAGCAAGACTACAGGCCTAAATCAACTGGTAGAAAGACTCCTACGATGGCCTCCCCAGTACCAGGAGGCCCTTTTCTTCGTCCTGTTCATCAAGTACCCCTTGTTCCCCATGTACCAATTGTGCGACCTGCTCATCAACTGCATCCAGGATTGGTCCAGAGAATGCTGGCACAGGGGGTTCATCCGCAACACCTTCCTCTGCTCCAAGCAGGTAATCCATACTTCCTATTCCCTTCAGTTAATGCATGTTCCCTGTAAGACTGACTTTGTTAGGAGCATCACAGATACTCACTACCAGTACTGTTTATTTACATCAACTTAACTTTAAAACCAGGCAATAAATTCCAAGCCATATAAATATATATAAATCTTTGTTTTGCTATGTTCCTTACATTTATCAGGTAAAGTTTCCTCACTTTTTTCAACAGGTATGCTTCCTCCTGGAGTTGACCTGTCTCACTTGCAGGGGCTATCTGCTCCCATCCTTGGCCAACCTTTTTATCCGCTACCCACAGCAAGCCACCACATCTTAAACCCTCGCTCTGGGACCCCTCTGCAGCTAGCCATGATGCAGCAGCAACTACAGCGATCAGGTAGGCTGAAACATAAAACTGGAGTGTGAGTTTCAGCACACTGACTAGCTTGCTCTGGGTACTGTACCTGTTGGCCTGTTTCAATATACTGTGCTAACAGGAAGCTACTTTGTTAATTTGGATATTTACAGTCACTAATCTTGTGTGGGTACTGGAGCAGTTTTGGCCACTGCATGCTCTTGTGCCAGAAGAAAGTCCAGTTGAAGCATTCGGTTCCAAGGTCTTTGTTGCTATTGACAGATTTTTGTTTTGCAGCACGTGTGCAGTGGCCTTTCCTTCCTTGATGGGTGAGAGGCCACCCACCTACCTCAAAATGTTACTTGATGCTGGTCTTCCAGTTAAAACTTGTTTTACACTGCAGTCCAGAACTGGCAGTGTCAGGCAGTTTATGGGAGCACTAACAAGAGAATGAACAGGTGGGGCCTAGATTTCACAGGGCTAATAGAATGAGGAAAAGCCATGTTCAGCTCACATGCCTCATCAGGTGATTGCTCCAGGGCAGATCTCAGTGTTGGGTGAACATGCTTCTCCATCTCTAATAGCTTCACATTTCACAGGCACTGGAGCACAGGGATCTGCTGCTGGTGCACAAACAGCCCCTCCGAACGTGCTGCCTCGGACTGGATTATCCCACGGGCACACACAGCTCGACCATCGCCCCAGCCAGAGAAGTGGCTCTCCCATTGGCCTTGCAAAATGGTTTGGTTCAGATGTCTTGCAGCAGCCTCTCCCTTCCATGCCATCCAAAGTCATCAGTGTAGATGAACTGGAATTCCGGCAGTGAACAGTGACCACTGGGTGGAACATCTGATTCTTTAGACTGGATACAAATGTCCATAGTCAGGACTTCACCTCTGTTTGGTTTTTTTGGGCTTTTATTTTTAGCACACTGTGCAACATTTCTTTTTGAGAGACTAAAGCACATGGCACCTGTCCTGGTCTCATGTCTGCATCAAGACTAAAGGATCCATTATGGCTTGAATAGTGAAGCCTGAAGAAATATAGATGCAAGACAAAGCCAGTTTAATCCTGGAAGTCTTTTTTTGTTTGTTTTTTTTTTTTTTGTAAGATATGTGAATTAAGTGCTGATATTCTCTAGCGTAGAGGTAGCAGCTATGGATTCCTCCTGCAGAAAACTAAATGTATAGACCCTTGTGTACAGACTGTGTATAAACAATCTTTTGTATATATACACATAGAATAGCCTTTTTGAATCTATACAGCTGTACATAAGAGTAGCTGGTAACAGTTGAGCTTTAGTTGTGCCTATGGTTTGGATCTTTCTCCATTGTACGTGTGGGACTTTCTTTAAGATTAAAGTTGCATATCCTAAGTGTGAGTGAACAGGATGAAGTTGCTTTGCCTTTTCTTGCTGCTCATCTCTAGGCCTCCCTCCCACATTCTTCTGTCACGTGCTGTGCACTCAATGTAGCTAAAGTGTCAAAGTAAAAAGCCCACATCTTGCTGTCTGTATAACAAAGCTCTGATCCCTTGTGTGTGACTCTTGCCACCAAATGAGAGAATTGTTCAGTCTTTGAACAGCCTTGAGGATGGAGACCTGGTACAGTAATAAAAAGCCAGATGTTCAGTCTCCCATAAGCAAAGAGACTATAGGTACCTACTCTACTGGTCATAGCTCTTTCAAGAGGGCTGGTGCTGGTCCTTGTCTAGCTGCAGTGTTTTCCTTGTTTTAATCCTTCAAACCAGTTAGTAAAGGTCACTACAATGGAGCCTATGAATCCTCACCCTTCAACTCAGTCATAGCTGTGGTATGTTCTCTACTGCCTTCAGTTCTATTTATAGAAGGGAGTCCCAAGAACTGTCCTCAATCTAGTTTGCATCTACTGATGCAATTACTGTGAAACTTGCTGTTGGAGTTTTGTTCTGTGGCTTGAAAGGGGGAGGACGGGGTAGTTTTGTGATCTGTGTATATTTGGTTTTAAAATACTATGTTCCTTTTAAGCCTGTTTCACTTTCCTGAACAGTTCAATGTTCTCTTCCATCCTTCTTCTGCATGGTTCCTCACTTCACTTCCTCACTTGTGTTGAGTCCAGTGTGTCACGTCCTCTGTCTAGCTTAGGCCATTGTGCTTTTTTTTTTTTTTTAAAGGTGAAAGCAAACCTGGAATTCTCACAGACTTGCTTTTTCTTAGGTCTCACTGAAATGCAAAACCAGCAGCAGAAAAAAAGAATCACTTGACTGTATTATAACAATTGCCAGCATGCTGTGGTGGGTTTGTTTCAGTCCAGTAGAGACTGTTGTACAGAAATAGCAAGCTGAAATCTCCAGTGTGAAGCCTGTTGGGGGTCACCCATACCTTAGAGTGGTTGTTCTTAAAACAATCTGTGTAAAACATGCAATCACCAGCTTGTCCTTGTAAGATTTTCATACTTTTTTAACTTGACACTTTCCCAGTAACATTCTGTAAATAAAGTTGATTCTACCAGCTGTCTGTTTCAACTGCTCTTGAACTGAACAAGCATGTCAGTATTCTCAGCCTTCTTAGTGTTGTTCTTCTGTAAGCTAAAACTGGTTTGAGCTGAATCTGCAGAAAATAACTTTTTAGTTTATCTTCTCTGTGAGGGAGAGGAACAGTCTGCTTTGAAGGTAACTGGCCTCACTGAAGACAGACATTTCAATGTAGTAAAGCTCTTGTCTTTGTGCAGCCATGGTTAAGTGTAAGGACACTAGAAGAACTCTTCAACCAGCTGTAAGGAAAAGGCTGATACCCTATCTGACTTATCTGGGCATTTACATACAAGCTTAGAAAAAATAACAGGGAAAATGCTCAGAGTGGGATCAAGGCTTGAATCTTTTCTTAACAGGCTTAGTAACAGCCCCTAGTGCAAGGATTTACTGCTTGAAGGGGCACTTCTCTTTTATGTGTGTAACAGGGGGCAGTGTTTTTGACACATTAAGTGAACACCACTGCTTGCTTTCTGTAAGAGAGAAAATGCTAAAGATTAATGCATTTGATAAAGCTCTAACATGAAGGAAAAAAAGCTTAACTTTATTCATTTCTATGAAAAAGGAGTCCAATCACTCCTTTTAGAGCAGCCTGCTTCTCTTGCACAAATTATTGACCTTCTCTAAGCAGGAGAATCTTTTCAGAAAACTTAGTGATGGGAAGCTTTTAACACAATGTAACAGAAGCATCTAGTGTAATTCCACTGGTATGGAACTGAAAAGGTGACTGCTTGTGAGCAGAATCTAGCAATCTTTTCCACAACTGCAGGACTATTAATAGCCATGAAGCATTCAAAGAACACTTCAGATTAAGGCAACTAGAGCTACAACAACTCTGTCCTCTAGCACTGTTTTTGTAATATGCTGTTCTCCAGCTTCTGCTTTTCATGTTTTGTTTTAGTTCAGAACAATTTCTAATGTGGGAACTTTTTTCCAATTTGGGAAGACTATGTACACACAGAAAATCATCCCAGGCATCAAAGCTTCCTTTTGAGTTTTTTTCCCTTGTGAAAGTCACTTGAGTTTCTCACCTCATTTCTGGCTCATTTCTGCCAGAATGGGACACTGCAGTTCAAGTTAGCCACAAATATCAGTTTCACCATGCAGTAAAGGTGCCACCATAATAAGCTAATACCCTTGTGTTACAGATGTGATAAAAATGGCCTGTTGTTTGCCACTTGGAACTAATGACAAACTTCATCCACACTGGTAAATGGCAGGAACAACTTTATTTCTTCACAATCTGAATAACATCCTCATCTTCAAGAGTATGGTCTTTACCAACTTTTTGAGGGTTGTGTTTAACAGATGAACCCCAGACCAGTGCACTGTAAGGGGAAAAAAATGTAAAAGGCTTAGAAGGTAAGAGCCAAACAGCAGAACCACAGCTATTTCTGTCACAAAGCTAACACAGAAAGCAATGCTTCAGAGCTATTTTTATTCTCCTGCAAGTACCTGGGTGAGTGGTCTGTACAAACCAGATCAAAACAAAGTATGAAGTCATTGAAAATAAACATGAATACAAGATAATGGCCTGCAGTGCTGCATCTGGTGCTACTTTCAAATATAAACATTATCTCTACAGAGGAAATTTAGCCAGGAAAGCATAGGAACATCAAATATAGTAATTTAAGTACTAATTGTCATAGGCAGATCTAAGCCATTCAACATTTAAAAAAAATATATATTTTCCCTTCTAGATTACAAGATAATTAAAGAATATACCAGGAGATTGATTACTTTCCATTTCTTATAAATTACTCTTTTACAACAATACTTACTATTTGAAGTCTTTAATGAGATTTTTGTGGATCTTCATGCAAAAGTCCTCCACTGTGGTCTTACAGTAAGGTAGTACCACAGGAGACGTGTAATCTGGGAGCTGCCCTTTAGGTTTGGTGTAGCTGTAACAGATGAAACAGTCAATACTAAAACCTCCTCTTTCAAACCATCGTGACATTTCAAGACTCATTCACACTGTCACGCTAAACACTTGTGCTGAGCTCCACTGCTTCAGTGGTGACAAAATTGGTGTTCTTAGGCTGAAAATGCATCTGGGTAGCCAATGGCTGCCCCAGATTCTCCCTTTTAACTGCAGAGGTTTCTCACTAGCAAGCCTTCTGTAGATGCTTAAAAGATTAAATAGGAAAAGTTGATGGAAAATGATGTCTACAATATTATGGTTCTGATGGGTGATATTTTTTGTGAAAACCTCAATATATTAGGAAAAAAGAATTACTAAGCCTATAGCCCAGATACATAGACACACTAAATCCCTTTTACAATAGATTTTGTATTGTCACAAGACGACAGCTACAGGTTTAAAAGACTGCAAGTACTGTATGGTGGGTATTAATAGATTAATTCATAAATTCATCCAAACCAACACATTAGAATTATGATGTAAACCTGGAATTAGTTAGAGTAACAACATCTGAAAACCTAGATGAAGAACTAAAATTCAGTTGTTAAGAGCTGAATGCATGACAGACTGAAAAGGACTAACTCTGAAATTCACAACTTTGCACTAAATTTGACTAGGATGCCATGTATTCAGGAATTTTGTAAGATATACTATGGACTTGGTTTCACAAGGTCCTCTTTTAATTCCCCTACAAGTTCAAAACATAGTACTTGTGACATGAAGAAACTGTCTACCAGCCTTACAGACAACCACAATTTCTGATTTACAGAGTAAACATACTTCAGTGACAAAAGACTTCACCATTTGAAAGCTGGAGTTCTAAGCTAGCAGAAAAACACTGTAAAATAATCATCATTCATCCACTCTTGAGACCTTCTTCAGTCTCAGCCTTACACTTCACTCCACAGGAGGCAACAACTGGGACTCACATTCGTACTAGCTTCAAGTAGTCCCAGATTTTCTCCAGCAGATCATCAAAGTTCCAGCGATGATGAGCAGATATTGGTACACAGTGGGGTACCTTGTAAATAATATCTAGTTCCTCGATGGAAATTTGGTCAATTTTGTTTAAGACGTAAATGCAAGGGATGTAAACCCTGCAAAGAGAAGGAAATACTGTTACAGCAGCCTAGCAGCAGTACACTGCTACGTCACCACAAAGCAAAATCTTCACTTTTTTAAAAGGACATCCCTACGAGGACACCACATTGCTAGCCTGGCTTCTGTGGGAAGCAAACCAGAGAGACAGCTCTTTTATTTGCAATAAAAACTGCAGGTATGGCAAAGCCAGGGATCCAACAGTACCTGTTCCCTTCAACAACGTCAATCAGGTCATCAGCAGTGGCATCGCTGCGCAGTGTCACATCAGCATTGTGGATTTTGTACTCTGCTAAGATGCTCTTCACTGTTTCAGCATCCAGCTCGCTCTGAGGACACTGAATGGAGAACACGTTGTTAAGGAATGGTTTACAGTCAGATCAAGCATCAGAACTAACGATGCTACCACTTAGCAATCGCTGTGCGAAGATGATCAGAAACAATAGCTGCGTTCTAAGTTGTTGGACTTGGCTATGATTCTGCCATTTTTGCCTCAGGAAAGGGAAAATATTTAAATCATAACAGCTTTATGTATATTAAACCCCCACTGACAGCTGCAATCAGACCTCTCAGAAGCAGTTTTCCTGTCAACCTGGGACCAGCTACAATACAAACCCATGTTATCTGCTAGTCCAGTGCCCACACAACTACACGTTAGGTACTTAGAGCTCAGAGCAGAGTTCTGATTTTTGGTATCTCTGGTTATTTCTACACTTTCAAAGATGCAGTGGGAAGTGGGAAATGAGGAGCAGCCCAGGTTGCAAGGCATGGAACTCTGAGCAATCTCCAGAAGAATACTGTAGGGACCAAGAGAGGGGTAGTTTTTGCACGCTCTCCTTTGGGTCTCAGAAGCTGTAATTGTTGGCAAATGGCCATGCCTCAGATCTGGGGGTGAGGAGGTGGTCAGGCTCCTCGGACAGGCACGATGGCCCCCAGGACAAGTCACTGACTACAGCACAGTACAGCAGTTCAACTTCTAGAGTCACAGCAGAAGAGCATTAGAGCAGTCCCAGGCATACCATTAAATGCAAATGCCTCTTTCTTCAAGAAATTTTTTTGTTGTTGTTAAAGAAAACTTCCAACTTACTGTGGCTGTAAGGTTAATGCCTCCCTTATCCTTTTTTTTAAAGCCGATATTGGGGGGCTTACTATTCAGACGAATCCCAAATCCCTCCAGTTCATTCTCAATGATCTTCTTGTGACCAAGAGGTTTCAGCACATCCAGAACGATCAGGATGAGATTACAGGTTCGTGCAACTAACAATCAGAAAAAGAAAGTACTCTCTGAAAAAAGCACACTCACACAAGCTGAGACAGAACAACACAAAATATGGCTCAGTGGACTGATGATGACAATACTAAGCCCCTGAAGGCCAGTACATTGCTTATTTTTAAACTGCAGTATAAGACTGAAATTTGTAGTGCTGGCCAAGCAACACTGACAGATCCTTACATGTTATAAGAGTCACAGAGGCTGAGAGAATCCTTCTTCCTGTCTGGTTTCAGACCCTAGACTGACAACAGTAAGCTGGGTAAAGAAATGAAGACAGAAGCCTTGTTTAATATGGGCTCACATCTGCCTTCAAAACTGGTGATACGGTTTCACTGCAGTGACACCACAAAGCATAAACTCAGCAAATGTGTAAAGCCATAACTGGAAACAGAACAAAATGAAAACAGCTACTGCTCCACAGCACGTAGCTCAGTTCCAGAACACAGCTCAGCTTTTTAAAGACCTCAGAAATGGTGATGCAACCCTTGATCTTCTCATAAGCGATACTAACTGAACCAGTGACAAGGATGGTGCCCCCAGCTCTAAGATACTCACCTGCGATGACTTGTCGTCCTCTGCCTTTGCCATCCTTGGCACCTTCAATAATTCCTGGGAGATCAAGTAGCTGTTTAAATGTTCAGAGGAAGGAAAGTAACCGTGCATGAGAAAAATGTTTTTCTTCATGGCGAAAATAAATCTTATTTTGCCTTTCTCCTAAACCAGCTGACTCTACTGCAAATTTGAATATGGCAAAATTGTTTCTCCTTTGATTCTTACATATTGTATTATCCTGTGTGCCCTACTGGTACAACAGACAAATCATCTCATTGAGAGTGTGAGAACTACCACAGGCACTTCTCCCCAGAGCAAAGTGCAAAGCAGGGTAATTAGTACCTCATGGAACTATTTCCAGTGTATTCTCAAGCACTTCTACATGTCAGTTCTAACCTGCTGACATCGGGTTTGACAGTTCAGCCATAACACTGTTGCATCTGCATAAGACGACCTCACCTGTATCTTTGCTCCTTTGTATCTAATGACTCCAGGAACAGTAGTTAGTGTAGTAAATTCATATGCTGCCACTTCAGAGTATACACCAGCAAGATTACTGAGAAGAGTAGATTTCCCCACTGATGGAAAACCCACAAATCCAATTCGGGCATCACCTGTCTTTGCAACATCAAAACCTGCAAATTAGGAGCAAAAACATTTGTTTCAAAACTGGTAATTTCTATCGTCTAAGGTTCTGTACAGTAGTCCTGCTACTTTTATACTGCCTGAGTGAAAACGAGGTAAGCTGCCCTACAGGGAGGATAAGAGTATGAAATGGAGAGTTCACAAGCTATACTGCCTGGTCTGTATAACGCTCCCTGGCATGTCAATGAAGTGGAGGCTGCAGGGCTTCCCAGTGGGCTACATTTGACTTGAGTGTAAGTGCAGCATTCCTTTTAACCACTGCAGCTTAGACAATTCACATCTTTATACATAAAAACAGGTGACTGCTGCAAGACACTTCTTCATGAAGAACCCTAAGACTTCAGCAAATACAAGATTTTATTAGCCAAAATGCAGAAGCCCTTTTCATTTACACTTCACAAAGGGTTCTTCTCCAGAGCACTAGTAAGGCCCACAAAGCATGGCTAAGGTCCTGTAGCGGGAAGGACAGAGGGAGAGAAGACGGCTCCGATTTATTCAGCAGACAATCTGACACGATTTAAAGCGACAAGAGCCACCCCAGTCAGATGGATTTCCGCCACACACCCCGCGCTTCGGCAGCGTGGAGCGGCCGCTTGTGCAGAGGCGGCCGAAGCCTTCCCACGGAACAACGCACCTTCCCCAGGGCCGCCGCCGCCGCCGCCCTTGGGGGTTATGAGCTCTCGGCGCAGCTTGGCCAGGCGGGCCTTCAGCAGCCCCAGGTGGTGAGCCGTGGCCTTGTTCTTCTGCGTCCGGGCCATCTGCAAGAGCACGGAAACGAGGGCTCGCCACCGGGAGAGGCTCTGCCGGGCCGCACTGCGCCTCACGGCTCGGCGGAGCCCC